AACAAAAAGTAAGTAAAATTAAAAAAAAAAAGAAAGCAAACTGGGGGTGGGGTGATGGGATGGCTCCATGGGCAAAGGGCATTTGCCGCCAAACTTGACAACCTGAATTCAAAACTGAGAACCACAAAGTGGACAGAACCAGCTGGGATTAAAGGCATGTGCCACCACCGCCCCCCCCCACTTTCTAATAAACCTTCTCACTTAAGCTTTGTCTGCCTGGCGTGTTTGTGTGTTGTATATCTGGGTACGTCCATGCGTGTCCCTGTCCCCCCACCCCCCCTTGCCTGCCATGGAATCTGCCAAGATCCCCCAAGCAAGGTCTCCCGGAGCTTTATCCTAACATTGTGTTTGTCAGGTATTGTGTTATAGCAATGCATATTATAATAACAATGTACATAGTATAATGTATATAGTAAAAGTTAGGAATAAATTCTAACTGCAAAGAACACTGATGGGCTCATGCAGGTTCCAGTGGGTGTCAGGAGAGCACAGGCTCTTCCACTGGCCGTAACATCAAGGATGTAACAATGGGCTAGCCCGCATCTCGATTGCATTAAAAGTGCGGAGAGCTTTTACATTTGGACATGTGGATATTTTACTCTATTAGCTGTGTCTTTATTCTTCCACTAGACAAACCTATTCAAACCTATTCCACTAGACAAACCTGTTTTTAGCTCGGGTCTTTCACCCACCGGCCATGGCGGATGGCTAGCAAAGACACCTCTAACTGACTGCCGAGCGATCTGGTAGGGCAGCGTAAGGGGAGTGTCTAGGGGTATGCACAGGCTCAGGATTGGTGTGCCTCAGGAGGGCTTGCCCTGTGTTCATTGGCCAATTGGTTGTTATGGCCAATAGGCCCTCCCAGGTGCTATGCTCTGTGCGTCATTGCTGTGCACTTGTCCGTAAAGCACACCCAGAGCCATAAAGCATAGTGCCACCAGCTAACTTCTGATTGGTTCTTTGCCACGAGGCAGGCAGCTAACCTCTAGTGACCAAGGCAAGGTCATAGCAAGCACGCGTTACTGTCATGGCTGCCAAAATGGGGGCTGGTCCCTTCATTTTGGCTTATGATTTGGCATCATGGACCTGAATCTTTATTTATTTTTATTTTTTTGTTTTGTTTTTTTAAGACAGGGTTTGTCAGTAGCTATGGAGTCTATCCTGGAATTCGCTTTGTAGACCAGGTTGGCTTGGAACTCACAGAGATCTTCTGACTGCCTAGACCTCCTGAGTTCTGGGATTAAAGAACTACCACCACCCGATGTGGACCCTAATTTTTAGTCTTTCTTTTGGTATTGGAAACAGAACCTAGGGCCTCAAAACCCAGGAACTAACTTTTTTTTGTTGGGTGGGGGTCAGGGACACACTCTTACTATGTGGCCAAGGTTAACCTGGAATTCACTGCATAGACCATGCTTGCCTTTAACTCACAGAGACACCTTGTTGATGGGATTAAAGGGGTGTGTACCACCATGCCTTTGTTTTTAAAGACAGGATCCCCTGAGGCCTGGGCTGATGTCAACTTACTTATGAAACTGAATATGGCCATGGAATTCTGATTCTCTGACTTCCACCTACAAAGTACTGGGAGTAAAGATAGGGTACTACACTAGGCTCAGGGAAACTTTGGAGGGCCAGACAGGCAAGAAAAACACCTGAGGTGAACTGAATGTCCACACCTATAATCCCAGGACCTGTAAAATGGAGGTAGGAGAATCAGAACTTTATAATTATCGTTAGTTATATGATGAGCTCCATGATAACCTGGGCTACGTGAACCTCTGCCTCAAAAGTCTCCCTAACAACAAAAATTAAGTAAAATTAAAAAAAAAGAAAGCAAACTGGGGGTGGGGTGATGGGATGGCTCCATGGGCAAAGGGCATTTGCCGCCAAACTTGACAACCTGAATTCAAAACTGAGAACCACAAGGTGGACAGAACCAACTCCTTGCAAGTTGTTCCTCTGACCTCCACACGAGCACATTTCCAAGACTCTCTTTCCACATACAAAATAGATGAATGTTAACATTATGAGAAGACCCTGTTTGAAAAACGGGGACTAAGGAGGGTATGGGGTGGGTGCTGGAGAGATGGCTCAGTGATTAAGTGGGACCTGGTTTGGTTCCCCATTCCCATACAGCAGTTCATAACAACCTGTAACTCCAGGATGCAACTTCCTCTGCTCTCCTGCACACACACCGTACACATAAACTTATGTAGGCATACACGTATACACGTGAATAAACAATAAGTAAAGCAAAACAACAGGAAAAAACCCAAAAAACAACTAATAAACAATAAAAACAACCTAGGGGGCAGAGGGAGGAGAGAGATAGCCAGATCTTGGCAATCCCTGTCCGCTCTGGCTCCGCCCATCCCGCTGCTCCTATCCCCTCCAAGTCACGCCCACTATTGGGCGTGCTCCCGGCGAGGCGAGGCCCCGCCTTCGCTAGTTCCCCGCCCCACCACCCACGAGGTGTCTTCCATTCCGGGACCCGCCCCTTGCCAGCTCCACCACCTAGGAGGTCCTCCTTCCGCAGGCCCCGCCCCTTGTCCCGCCTCCGCGCAGTGCGGCTGCGCGGGCGTCTCAGGCTCCGAGGCCCCGGTGCCGCGGATCTTTTGTTTCCCCCGCGGGGCTGTGAACCCGTGGTCTGTCAGACACAAGTCGAAGCCGGAGTGTGTCTGAGGCGAGGCCCGAGTCGGAGTGGGTCCTTGCTGTCAGCGTCGGGAGGTTGCGGCGGGGGTCGCCGAGGG